ATAATGAACTTTTTCATAATGGAAAAGCTTTTGGTACTGTATTCAGTGGCGCTTAATAACCTCTGCAGATGACTAGAACTTTAAAAGACTGACCATGCACCATATAAAGCTATCATTATATAATCTAAATGCATCTGTTAACATGTTTTCACATTGAATTCTTTACTACTGAACATGTGAAGATTATGTAACATTGCAGCAATGGACCTGCAAGCAAGGTATACTTATTAAAAAAAATAGATATGATAAATAATATTTTAATAAAAAATAAAAACTGCCTTTTCTTAAGCTCTTGAACAGACTTCTCTGTTAATATATTGCTTCCATACATACTTATTAAAATGAATTATTTCTAAAAGTGAAACAGGAAAGGTCATGATCCCTGTAATGTCAGTGATACTTGTTTGAAGTGTATTGGGGGTTGATTAACTTTGTGGAATGGCTCGCAAAGAGAAAAGTTAAGTAAGTGCATCAGCCTTTGAAAGCTGAGAACGTAAAACGGAACTATGAAGAACAAGACAGTATCTGGTTTTTTTACCAGTGTCTGGAAAAAGTAAGGGGAGGGAACTAGACAGAACTTGGATGGAACTCTATTGTAATATCTGAGTAGACTTATAAAAGCTAATGGTAATTTAATAATGTTTCCTTTGGAGGGGGGAAGATCCTGTTGTGTTCTTCATTAGTTCCCGTATAAAACATTACTGTTTCAATCTGATACTGATATCAGACTTTTTTATTAGTCACCAACAAACATTACAACCTATTTATGTGTATCAAATGAAAATTAAGAGAAATATTTTTTAACTTGCAAACAGATTGATAGTCTACCAGACTTTATCTCAGTGAGGTCTGAAACTGTCCAGATTCTGTCCCTCAGATGTTAATTACTTTGCAGATGGAAACACTTTAAACCACGTAATTCCTGTCAGCTGCTGCTGCAGCAGTGTCAAAGTGTGATGATGACATTGACACCCACGTGTAACATCTGTGAAGACAAGAAGCATGCTATTTCAGAGTTTGAACGGCTGTATGGTACAAGAGCCTCACTAGGAGGCTCAGCAAGTCAGCACAGAAAAGTGTGAATTCTAGTGACTGAAAGATGCTACTTTGCATAAATTTCAGATCCTCTGTGGTTGTTATTACTTTTCTTTGGGGGAAAGAGTTTTCTATATACTCTTTTTGTTTAAAAACAGGTGATGAAAATAATTGCAGTACTACTGGATTCCTTTCTGATAGCTTCTGAAGCTGGGATCAAACTGAGTAGGAGAAATAGCAATAGATTTTGTGGTATTTGAATGCCATCAGAGCAAAGATCTGAGGGAATAGAGTTAGCAAGAGGAGGCATAAGGACAAAGAGTATTTGCTTTTTATTTACTGAAGTTAAATCCATAAATAATCATTGAGATTCTCCTTTAACTGAATGCAAACTGTGGCATCACAGATTACTAACAGGAAAATTTACATGACAATATATTCTTAACTTGTATGCTACCCTTTTCTCTCATCTTTAGAAGAAGAATAAATCCTGTTAAGGTACTGCAGATCTTCATGTATGCAGTATGATCTAAACTGTAGACATATATATGTGTGTATGTATTCTACTTTTGTATCTGCTACCATGTGCAATGAAGTATTTTCAGGTTGTTCTTGTTTAGTTTATTTGATTGTGAACTATAATTCCTAGGATGATGTTTAACTAAGGTGTTTTCCAGGGTATTTTAATAACTGAAAGTGATATATTTCCTACTTCATTGAAGTGAGTTACCTTTCTAAAATTATAAAAAGAAAAGCCTCCAGGTTTTTCTTCAGAATTGCATGTTGCAATGCTGGCGCAATTTGTTTTTCATACATTGTTCATTGCTTACTGGAACTGTCCATTTCTATTATTTAAAGAAATGGCTGTTATAAATTACTAAAGTTTCAATTTTCTGTTGCTCTATTACACTGATAAACTTTTCTACTTCAAAATGTTATGTGGGATGCAGTACGCTGTCAGAAATAAGTGGTCGCTAAGCACGGAAAAAGATCTTTGTAGTGGAAAGCTTCCATAAAATATTGTTTGTAAACTTGAGCAGGATATTTATTCCTGTTCATCTGAAATTAAGATTTCTTTTTCCTTTCACTTAGGTGTGTTTTTTGCATTTCACTATACTTTTTCCATAGCCCCTTGCTTCAAGGAACTAGAGGAGGAAAGGAAATACACAGCAGTAACAAGCAGAAATGGGTATGTCCATGATCAACAGTACTGTGGCTGTTTCGAGACTATGTTCAATGTCTCAGATTTTGCTGAACTATTTTTATTCTGTGGGAGGAGTGGGGCTGGTCACAGATTTAAATGATTTTCTGTTGTTTTACCTAAGACTAGCTGTAGTTCCCCAATTTCATTTTGCCTCTCTCTCTCCCCCTCTCCCTCCCTCCCTCTCTCTCTCTCTCTCTCTCTCATTCTAGGCTTTCTGCTCTGGATTTGGTTCTTTGCAAAATGAATATTGCATTGTTTCACAAAGGTTGGACCTTCCAGTAGAATCTGTCAAGATCAGTGCACATAAATCAACAGCTTATTTTTCTTGAAGACTTCTGTGCAGCTTTTAAAGTTTTAATCACAATGAATTCGGGCTTATGGAGTCAAGAAAAAGCAAGTTCATCCTATTGGGAAGAGCGGATCTTTTACTTGCTTCTTCAAGAATGCAGTGTCATAGACAAGCAGACTCAAAAGCTCTTGAAAGTGCCCAAAGGTAGCATTGGGCAGTTTTTTCAAGACCGTTCTTCTGTGGGACACTCCAGAAATATTCCTTGTAAAGGCAAGAAACTGCAGATTGGATTAAAGATTCTGGAACAACCTCATGCAATCCTGTTTGTGGATGAGAAGGATGTTATAGAAATAAATGAAAAACTAGCTGAGTTGCTTTTGGCCATTACTAACTGTGAGGAAAGATACAGTCTGTTTAAAAGCAAAAGCAGGTTAACTAAAGGCATCCAAATAGATATTGGCTCGCCTGTTAGAGTACAGCTGAGATCCGGAGATGATAAATTTCCTGGAGTTGTTCGCTTCAGAGGACCCTTATTACAAGAAAGGTCCCTGACAGGGATATACTTCGGAGTAGAGTTGCTGGTAAGTTTCTTGCTATGGGGGAGCATCATATATATATTTTATAAGATGAGCTAAAAATCTTCTATTTAAAGAGGCAGTCACAATAAATTCTTTTTTCTAGAAGCATCATTACCCCTAAAAATGCTGTAACCTTCAGTTTTTTCATAAGTATTGTTATTAAATACCTGTGAACACACCATATCGCATCAGCCTTGTATTCTACATGTTAAGTGAAGCTTGATGAGGTGCATGGGCTGGCAAAAAGACTTGAACATGCTCTGACTCTTCCAGCCTAGAAAAATTTAATTACTTACATCCCCATCATGGCAAATATCTGACTCTCAGATTTCTGTTGAGTACTTTGTTTTTCCCTGCATGTGGCAGGATACAATCCATAAATGTAGGCTTGGATTTTAGGGCTGCTGGTTTTGTAGAGCCCTGAAAGTCAGATGGCAACTAGTTAAGATAGAGTATGTTGCCGTTGTTTGCTCCTAGTGAGATATTTCTGCAAAATTAATGTCAACCGTAAGCTTTTGAAGGGTTAGATTCAGGAGAGTGCCACCCTTGCATTAGAAGTATATTTTGCAAAGTCCTCTTTAAACTTTTCCCAAATTCTTTGCAATTCCCACAAAGAACCTCAGGGAATATCAGGCCCAAGTGCTTCTGAAAATCGGCTCCCTTTATTTGGCATCGAAGTGGAATTTTTGGATGCTTAGCCTTACGTCTAGTATGAAGTAGTCTTGTATTGATATGGCAAAAATTTGATGGTGGAAGGGAGATTTGCACCTGAAGAAAACATGCTTCTCTGAGTAAAAAGGCTTCTGCGTGCAGCTACTCTCTAATCTAATGGCATTTTACTGTTTATTCCCCTAAGATAGACAGTGTGTATATCTGCCACAAATTCCAGCAATAGAATTCTCCCAATATAATGATAGTTCATCAGGCAAATTCTTACTGCAATTTCTCCAAAACACTGGTTTATGTTGCTGCTTTTGTAGTAGTCTGCTTTTGCACAAAATACACTACTTTTTTTTTTTTTTTCTTTTTTCCCTTCCTCTTCTTCCTCCTCCGACACTTAGGAAGAAGGTCGCGGTCAGGGCTTTACTGATGGACAGTACCAAGGCAAGCAGCTTTTCAGATGTGATGAGGATTGTGGGGTTTTTGTTGCTTTGGACAAACTGGAGCTGGTGGAAGATGATGACAATGAACTGGAAAGTGACTATGCAGCTCCAGTTGACGCAATGCAGGTAGAACTTCCTCCTCTGGAGATCAACTCCAGGGTTTCTCTGAAGATAGGAGAGAGTATAGAGTATGGGACAGTTATATTCTGTGATGTCTTACCAGGAAACGAAAGTTTAGGATACGTTGTTGGAGTGGACATGGTAAGAAAATAATCTGACTTTAATAACTTTTGCATGTGTGTTAGCTAGTAAATTACATGCAATGTAAAAGAAGAAACATTATCCACAAGCTACTTCAGCGGAGGCTGACCTAAAATGGGAAATAAACACTTGTGTTCAAAGATGCCCCTTGGTGGTAATTGTATTTTGGCATCAGGTAAATGGTATCCTATTTGATGCTAAACAGTTCAGGAGAAATACTCCGGTTACTCTGAGGAGCCTCCACTGAGCTACTTGCCATGTTAGATGTCAGTCTTGAAGTAATAGAGTTGAGTGTTTGTCTTGTGAGACTGGCTTTGTTCTGCCTTTTAAAAAAGTAGGCTGGATGCCTTTTTCTTTGTTAGCTATTTTTAAAAGCTTTTTTTCATGTAACTTTGGTTTGTTTGACTTTGTGCTACCTTAAAAATACTGAGTCTGAAGTACAAAAGTTGATCTTTCAAGAAAATGTGAAGCTTGACATTAAAAATTATTTCTAGCAACTTCAAATTTTTAAAATGAACAGCTTTCAAATTTTTGGTGGTTAAAGGGTGTTTTGGTTTTGTTTTTGTAGATCAGGTGCTTCCATTTTCTTGATTGCAGTAGCTGTTGCCTAACAATGCACTAGAATTGTTCTAACTTGTTTATAAATAATGGATTTTAGTAGAGGAATGCTTGTTAAAATAGGAAATATGCCTCAAAAGAACAGTTTTTAAGTTTGCATTTGTCTTTAAAGACTGTAATGTTTGACTGTTCTAAATACAAAGCTTGTTACAGGAAAAAGTAGATGTTGTCAAACTTTTCATTTTCCTACTTTTTATGTTCTTGAAGACACGTGTGTATTCTGTATGATGTAAATCTTCTCTTGGGATAAATATAACATGTTTTTCTATTTTTAGGATAATCCTATTGGAAACTGGGATGGAAGATACAATGGAATACAGCTGTGCAGTTTTGCAAGTGTTGAAAGTACACTTCTTTTGCATATCAATGATGTTATTCCAGGTATGCTCTGCTTTCTTAACCAGAAGGCGGACTTTGATAACATCTCAACCTAGGCGCAGTTATACGATTAAAACAATATTGTGGAATTACTATCCTAAATTCACTTGAATTAGTTTAACCTTCTGTGTTACACTTCTCTTCAGTTTCCTCCCCCTTTTGGTTACAGTCTCACTAGTAGAAAAGGTTTACAATTTTACGTGACTTTTGTTCAATATTATAGTATTTGCAATACTATACAGTTGTATAGTATTCATGAATATGTGAGTGTCTGTAGCGGGAATCTTTTTATTGAATGTTGTTCAATTTACTCCAGGAGTTTAAATATCTTGGATTGGAAAGCTGTTCTTTCTGTGCTTGAAATATATTGATAGTATTACTTATGCGTTCTCTGAGTAAATACTTGAAAATTCATAGCAAGGCACTGGAAAAATTCACTGTCTGCAGTAATTCAGTGAATAGCATTAACTTGTAACCACTACAGTCCTCTGATTCCTCTTCTGAAGAAAGAAAAAAGTTTCATGTAAAACTTTTGTTTGTGCTCTATCTGAAGACAGGTACTCTAATGAGTGCAGTCTTGTACGGCCTGTAGTCTGTAACCGTTTCCCTCTCTCTTCAATTGGGCTAACTTTTCTTATGTTCACCTCCTACTTGTTGGTTTAGTTGAGATGCACATTTTTGCATGAATTCGCCTCTCTTCTCTGGAGAATTCATGGGGACTTCTCCATTTTTGGGAAAAGAGCGTTTGTTGTAGATGTGTTGGTAGAAAACAAAGTTTAGAATTTCATGCATCCGTTTCCCGTAACGGAAGCGTGCACATACATTGAAAAATGTGAAGTCAGTCTATTTGGTGTGTTCAAAAAATAATGGTGGACTTCAGAGTAAAGTAATTGCTGATGTGATAGAAGCAGATCCTATATACATAAAATGTTGGTTTTGTGCCAAAAAAGGTTTTGCTCCACTCAGCTTTAAAACTTATGATGCTAGACCTTGGTTCAGTTACGTTTCAGGTTGAACTTCTTGCTGTGATGTAATAAAAGCGTATAAAAGGGAAGCTAATATTCTCTTCATATACCACGTTTTAGAGACTGTGTCACAGGACAGGAGACCTCCCAAGCTTGCCTATACCTCAAGAGGTGGTGGTGACAAAAGCTTGTTCAATCATAGTAAGCCAAAGGCTACAGGTATGTATGGGAAGTGATTTTCTTTACCTATGTAAGATTACAAATTTCTGTTGCTTGGGAAAAAGTGTTGCCTTGCCTTTTCTATCACTTTATTATTTCAGTTATATCTTGATATGAAATATCAAGATAAATTTCTCTGAAGTAGAGTGTTAATATGAATTTAGTTAATCATAAAGATGGTAGACAGTTTAAGTTAAGACTGCTCAAATTACCTTCACTTTCATGAAAAACAGTTTGAGGTTTAGCAAAAATTCAAGAGCATATTACCTAGTTGTCTAGTATAACCAGTTCAGGGCTGCATTCTGTTTTTCTGAAAGTGTGGTGTGTGTTTGGGGTTTTTCTTATTTTTTTAATAAATGTAGTTTGCTGTTGACTTCCTTCTGCAGGACTTGAAACTTGCAAATTTTTAGCCCAGGAGCAGATCTACTTAATAGTGAATATGTTAATTTTGCTGTGATGCAAAACCAAAATTTAATTTTCTGAAATATAAACTTCTTTTGGCTCTGGTTTTGGCCAGCTCTGAAAATCCTCCCAGGGAAAAACAACCTGGAAGGGAAATAAATTCCTCCCACCCTCCCAAAGGCAGCCATCAAAATTCAGTGTCTTTTGAGTTTACTAGTGGCTATTTTGGCTTGTAAAATACTAATGACAGTATATTCTGTAAGCTTTCATTCTACCTGGCATTAGATGCTGGCAGAGACGGTCTTCACTTAAGTCACTGTGGTTCTATGTTGGCACAAGTTATAGCTGTGTGGAATTGGATGGGTAATTTATTTGCCTACTCTGAAATTTTTTTGCTTTAAAAACAAAGAAAAAATACCTGCTGTACACTGTATCTCAAATGCTTTCTTATATCCATAATTTATAGTAGTGAAAAATTTGCACTTGAGGGGTATTTTCTGCCTTCTTTTCAGGTTGGTGACTTGAAATTTCAGCTTGGAGGATTAAGTTGGTTTGGGATAAACTGCTACCTTGTTGCAAGCTTAGAATTGTGTTAGCTTTGATGGGAGAGTTTGCTGCTTTGTGGAAAGGCAGTTACGTCTTCTTCAAATAATAGTAACGCATTTATACTATGAAAGAAGAGTGTAGCTAACCTTTTGTAAATAGAGAATAATCTCTTCAGTAAAACGTATTGTTTTCCAGGATCTACCTCTGAACCTGGAAATAGAAACAGATCTGAAGTCTTCTACACATTAAATGGCTCATCACTTGACTCTCAGCCTCAAACAAAAACAAAACCCCCATGGTATATTGATGAAGGTAAAGAGAGATGATAGTCTTTCATGTAGGCATACGCTTTATTTAAAAAGCAAAACAAAACTAGAGTGTATTGATATTCTTCAAATAAGACAAGTATGAGTTTAAATTTAAAAAGGTTGGAATGTGTTGTCTTAGCAGAAGACATACTATATCATAAAAAGCATCTTGGAACCCCCATGAAATACACTCTTGTCTTAATTGACCGACCTGTTGTTTTATTCTGCATGTAGGAGATTACATTCTTGGCAACATATGCGCAGCTCTGTGGGAACGCATAGGTCTTGCAGGCAAAATAAAAGCTGTGGCTTGGAAGGAAGATAAGATATTTCTTGCAGCCAAGTATATAGAGCAATTTTATTTTGCCTGTCTTTTTGTAGCTAATGTTACAAATCTAAGGGAACTGCAATATTCTGCCATGCCAGCTAATCAGTCTGGAAGTAGGGAGGAAAAAACCCAATCTGACTAAACATACATGTTTTTTCAGTATTTTTTAAAGTTATTTCTGTAAAATCTCTCTCTTAATTCTTGTAAGTATGGGTGCACATACCCAAAGGATCAGTATACCTTGATTTGCTTCCAGATCTAATT